TTTTTCCTAAGTTGGTTATCAAATAGTTTTATTTTTACACTATTACAGAAGTGCATTTCTCTAGGTTCCCCAAACCACCTTCCTCAACCTTGCCCATCTGTCACCATCTGCTTCTTTTTAGCATGTACTTTTTGTGTGATCACATAAGCATGTGAAAAATAACTAACATTCAGATGATTATCTGCTGGTACATTTGAGGACTGGGCACAATAAAAGTGAACTGCCAAAACGCACTTAACACTTTTAATTTTGTTGGGTCTTGCATGTAAGCTACATTTGATTTTCAAACTGTTTTACAGTTGGAAAGTTGAGCAGGTACTGCTAACTCAAGAGCAAAGCTGAGACTCCAAATAATTAGCACTGCATAAAATCATCTGGATTTAATAGGATCCAAACTAAATAATGAAATTTAAAAGAGTTTATATGTGATTTCTAATTTCTTTTACAATTTATAGGTGTTTAAACACAGCTCAGACTACAAAAACAGAATCCTCTCATGACATCTTATGGTCCATAATTTTTTGATGGATTGGTTTTATTTCCTTGAACTACAAGAAAAATGAATTCACTTAAAGCTGTAGATATCAATGCATTTTCAGAGATGATGTGCATGAAATGCCTAGTTTACAGGTCTGTGAGAACTTAGTCTATGTAACCTCCTAAAAAATATTATTTTTCCTACCAGTAAACTTCCACTAAAGATATTATACTTGAAGCTTCATTATTCATTAAGAGATAAAATATTTATGTGTTATTTTTCAATTAAGAGCTTAGAAGACTTACCTTTTCTGGTGATATTCACCAAATAAATAAACAAACAAACAAATAAATAAATGGAGTCCATATAAATGTAAACAATTACACATACGCTGTAAGTCTGACACATAGGGCACTTAATAAACTGGCTGTAGATGACATCTCATATGCTTCTTGGGTAATCCTTGATATATACACCATTTACCTTTAAACATCACACTACTGCAATCAGAAGTAACTAAACAATAAAATAGCACCCTGGCTGAAATGATATCCACAATCTGTACAAACAGTGTTCAAAGAGCAGAAGTGGGTAAGAACTGATGTGATTCTTACAAAAGTGTAGTAGTCAAGAATGCACTGTAGGTCTAAGTGATCTGATTATCCTATCAAGACAAGATCAATATTGATAATGGTGCAGAATAGAAATGGAAGGTTCGAACAATGGTAGACACCATAAAAAGAAAGGCTAGCTTCAGCAAAAGATAATCTCTCTAGCTGATCATGTAAATCCCACAGTATTACCCCTGGCTTGCAATTCACAGGTACTCTCTTACCAAAAGGATTCAAAATGAGTTCCTTTGCATTCCAACCACAAGCCACTTGTCCACCCTCCTTCCTTCCTATTCTATGTTAGGGTGCCCATGTCCCACCCCTCCCTAGGACTTTGTCCTCCACTGTAATATGTAACTCTAGACACTGTTTTCTTGAGTAGCAGCCTATATTATCTATACTCTATCACCTTACTAAACTAGTTAAGAAAACCATTTCCTAGTGTTTGTGTATACCCAGTACCTGCCATAATAATAAGTATTCAGTATTTCTTTACTCCACAAATGGACATTGTTCATTGAAATGGCAAAAATTGATGATTAGAATAAGAAAGTACATTTTTTTCATGTAGGGTAAATATGTTCCTAGATATTCTGATTTAACAAAAAGGCAGTAAAAGATATATGGACATTTAGTGCATACAATTTAAATTATTTGAAAACTTAGTTGTTTCCAAGTTTGTCATCTACAAAAAAAAAGAACTGTAATGATCACTTTATTTCTATAAATGTGTCAAGATTTCAACTAATAAAACAATTTGTGTCAACATAGTTGGGTAAACAAATGCCTTTTAAAGGCTTAAATACTCTACTAATACTTTAAAAAGATGAACAGGGGCCAACCAGGAGGTGGCTCTGGACGTAAGAGTGCTTGCTGAAAACTTGACAACCTGAACCTGAATTTGATCCCCAGGTTTCATAGAGTATAAAGAGAGAATGAGTGCCTGAAGGTTGTCCACTGACTGCCACATGTATATGGCAGCCTGTGCATATGCATGCATGTATGCACAAACACATAAAATAATTTAATGCAATAAAAATGTCAAATATGTAGAAGTGACCGCTTTTTTTTAAAGAAATACAGTTTCTTTAGTATTGGTAACTCTTAGAAACAAGGTTCTTTACATTCAGTTATAGGTTTTGTCTTTCCATTGATAATGTCTCGAGAGAAAACAGCATTTTTGTTTCTTAGTCAATCATCTGCTTCTCAAATGAGATGTGTTTATCTTCTCCAGAATAATTTCTTCTAATTGTGACATAACTAATTTTGGTATTCTAAATTTGGGATGTCATCATTCATCACAAATGTATAGCAAGGGCGACTGAATGTCAGAAAAACAAAGAATTTGTTTCCATGACGCTCACAAAAACAAAACTAGTCCAGAAAATATGATCTTGTATTTGAACAAATAAAAACATCATTTCTAAAATGTTATTTCTTTCACAAAAACAAAATTTTAAACTCTAGACTCTATAACAGAGAAAATTACATGTTTGGCAAGACAATAATACTTGGAAATGTACTATATTTTAAATATTAGCACTTATTTAGCTTTTTGAAATGTTAACTCCTAGTTAAAAAAAATAATACTGCAAGACAACATGCTAATTTCTCTAATTTCTTCTGATTACTGATTCCTGTTGGGCTGTCACTCATATAATTAAAGATGAAAAGGTAGGCTTTATGGTCTAGCAACCCTAATTAGAATCCTGATACTCCTGGGATGTAGGGAGAAGTAATATGATCAAAATATATTATTTACATAGATGACACTCTTAAAAATAAGTTGTTTGTTTTTGTTTTTAAAGGAACCATACCCTGTTGTTTATCCCACATCACCCCCTAGCTGTGTGTATCAAGATTACTAAAATGAAAAGTGAGTTTCACTTCACTATGTTTCACATGTTATCCCAAATGCCATAGGAACAGACATAGTGATGATTGATAACAGAAAGCCTACTCATACTCATCAAAGGAAGGCTCCTCCATCTGTAACATAAGACACCGTGGCCTTGATGCACTCTGAGGGGTGTCCCATTGGTCCAGCTCCTGCCCCTTTTGACTGCCCTGTGGGCAAAACCCTTCCTCTGTGTTGGTTTCGTATTTCTTGGCACTCAAATATCAGAGTAAACACACCTTTTGGTAGCCATCTATCTGTGGAAGATTTTGTTCCCATCTCACATGCTCCTCTGCAATGGGATATATGATCTATGCATCTGCTGTGTGAATCTGTGAAGGTTTACAACTGCTTCAAGGAATAAACATATGACAAAAGTGATATGTACCTTATGACAAAGAGGCCAGGAAATAAGATGACATATGAATGATCTCAGCAGCATTTTCCATAAAAGCCAAAATGTGTACAATACAGGTGAAACTTAGGACAATTTTCTAAGGGAAGCCAGCTATATAAGGCTTCATGTCATATAATTTTATTTAAATGAAATGTTCAGAAAAAGCTACAAGGAGAGCCTAGAAGGATGAGAAACTAATGAAGGTGAGTTCACAGTTGGAATTATTAAAACATTTTGAAATCAGAAGTGATAGCTGCACAACTTTAAAAGTAAACCATCGAGTTAAAAATTATATGGCATGTGAACTGTAACCAAATCATAAGAAATAAAAAGTACATTTTAAAAAATGAATTTTAACAGTTCATTATATTAAAAACAGAGTAAAAAGAGGGAAGGATTATGGGAGTATAAGATTGCTTTAGGACTGAGGAGATGGCTCAGAGTAGAGCACTGATTGCTCTTCTAGAGGACCTGAGTTTAATCTCCAGCAACCACATGGTGGCTCACTGCCATCTATAATGAGATCTGGCGCCCTCTTCAGGGCAGCAGGCATACATGCAGGCAGAACACTGTCTACATAATAAATAAATCTTAAAAAAATAAAAATAAAAAAAGCTTCTAACATGTTCCTAGGTCATTTGCTGCTAGGTCTTCAGGCCAAGGAACCCTGGCCATTTTGAGGAAGCCTGAGCCACAGAGAGGCTGGCTATAAGTGCTCCTGCCAACAACCTTAATGACGTGTCACTGGACACCTAGCAGCAGCTGTCACACAGAAGAGTGAAGTTGCTTCTAGATCATTTTATTCCCTAAGCAGTTACCTTCTGGTAAGTCTTTCGAAGAAGGCTACATGTGTGAGCAGAACAGAAAGATTCCACCTGTGCAGCCCCATCTGCATCCATGATGGGAAGAAGTCCTGAGTCAGTTGTTACACAGCCCATCTGGTACACCTAAGATAACTGCTACATCAAATTACACCTTCCCGTTATCTTCTTCTCATTTTTCACCTCTATGGAATTTTATGTATTATGTTATATACAGTTTTATTATATAGATATAAATATATCGGTAGAGATATCTCTAAGAGTTCTATCTTGCTCCTATACCGGCACATCAAGCAAAAATTCTTCAACACAGAGCAGACACACAACAGATACTTGAATAAAAAGCCACCTATTCGTCTTTTCTTGTGAGCTCCAAATGTAAGTAATTTTTTCAGTGGCCGACACAAAACAATTTCTAGTAGTTAAGCCCAAACACAAACAATCACTATAATCGCTGCTTCTACGTAAAGTCCAAGGATGCTTAAAAAAACTATTAAATATGTTTACTGAAGTTATTCAAATATTCTATTTTAATAACAAAGAAATAAAATGTATAGCCAAGAAAAAAACTTGATTTAATATACTTTTATTGAAAACATATGTGCTTGCAAACCATATAAATTTAATGTCCAAGTCTATGGCTTTAAAAAACCCTATTAAATGAGTTAAAAGCAAATTAAGTTATTCTGATTAAAATCATTTTTTAAAGGTAGGGAGTACAGAAACTTGGAAAAAAATTCAAATTCCTCTGAGAAACATTAGTGTTATTTTTCCTGTAAATGGGACTTAGACCTACCTCTGGTGCCAGATACTCTGGTGTGCCACAGAATGTCTTCATGGTGGCTGCATCTGTGATTCCTTCTTTGCAAAGTCCAAAATCTGTAATTTTTATATGGCCATCTTTATCCAGCATCAAATTCTCCAACTGTGTGTGAAAACAGCATAATTTATTCTATAAGCTTCAATAAGAGAATAGTTTTAGAAAATGATTAGTAGAGTACTGGAAAGAGATCATTATATTTAATAGATCTGTCAATCCTTGCAAGTCCTATAACTTCACATGTAAAATGAAGGATCTTTTATCAAACATTTGTTGTGCTAAAATTTCTGACTTTAACATCAGTGGAAAAAGTAGAATAACCTTAAGAACCATTACTGAAAGTTCTAGTGAGAAAAGCTGATTTAGAACATCAATTCCCTTTTACTTTAAAGTATTATTTACACAATCCCAAAGCTGCACATCTTCCTACAGATAGTTAATACTTCCCCTTACAGCAAGTATACTTTTCTTGCTTACAGAAGCATTATTTTGAAAGTTTAATTTTTGTAAAAGAAGGTGATAATTTCTTTTGTAATTCTTGCTAATAAAAAAACATCTCTTTTAAACATAAAAAGAAAAAGACTATCAAAGTGAAACATGTTCTTTATAAAGCTGAAGTCTCTGAACCTAACTTTAACTGATACACCAAAGAGATTTGTAAAGATTTGACCTTTGGCAAAAATCATACATCTCAAAAAAAAGTTCTAAGATACCAAGAGAACAAGAAATTTTTGCAAAGCCAATACAATAACGAATACCAGTGTACCCTCCCACTCAAACCTAAGCTATGACATCATTACATGGAGATTTGTGTAGACTGAGATACGATCATACAGTCTCATACAGAAGAAATACTAAGTGTGAAAAGCACCTTAACAAGGTGCAGGATATTTAACTTTTATGTAGGGAGTAGACACTTTAATACGATAACAGTTCGAAGTATTTTTCAGAACTCTGAAGTTAACATGAAATGCAGAGAATACCACATATGAACACAGGTAGGCTATATATAATACAAATGTGTAGACACAATTTCTGCAATATGTTCATGTTTTATATATCCAAAAATTTAAGTGAGCAAGTTATGTTCAAAGCAGAAATGTTTTTATTGTAGCACCACCTCAACAGACTATGTGATGGAACTGAATGTTCATGTTCAATATATTCAAAATGTAATATACTTCTGAAGAGTAGTTGTTTTTTCAACTTATCTACAGAAAGCTAAACAGGGCCCTAACTGTACCATTAAAACTATTTTTCAAAAATTATGCTATTTTATCCAAACTTAGATACATTTGCTTGCATCCTTTTCATTGTTCTTCTAGCAAACTACAACCTGGAAATTAAGCCTATTTTGTATAAACAGCACTAAGTATTAACTCCAACCAAGAAATATCAAGTGTCTCTTCTTATCTTTTTCTTCGCTGTGGTTGGTCTGTCTTTTCTCTGGGTCTCTTCTAAACACACTCTTTATCCAGCCTCCTTTAACTTACCACAGTTAAAGGAGGGTACATGCTAAAGGTCAGGTGCCTTGCTGAATAAAACAATATTCCCTATTCTTAATTATTTTAAAATGTGTGTTACTAATATTCATTCTAATTCTTATTTAATTAATGTGTTAAAGAATTTAAAAATTCTTCAATAAGATCATTGGCATACAGTGGTAAATAACAATACCAATCTGAAGCTAGGGTTTTAAGCACTCAATGAGATGGTTAAAGAAGAGTTAAAACTGTAACAATATGACAATCTGTAAGGAGAGATCTTACTAGGCACCTGTGATGCTGACCACACTTGTTTGGGGTTTGGGGTGTGGCATAAAGACCTGGGGAGAGGCAGATCTCTCTTTTGGGGTTCCTGTCGGGTCTCAGAGAGCAGCAGAGACTGTAGGAGCACTGACCCTGGGTTATCGGTTTCTCATATAAGTGATTTCTCCCTAATAAAATAACATACAACATACCTAACCCATGTATGGTAATCTTCCTCTTATAATAATCATTTGCTAATGATGGAGTATTTAATGGCTTTTCTGGTGTGGAATATTATTTTAACTGAGCAAAGATGTGTTAACATTTGTTTATGCTTGTGATGATACCTTGTTTGTACTCTATCAAATAGAGCTTGCCTGATGATCAGAGGGTGGAGCTAGCCACTAGCTAACCTAGCGTTCTGTACAGACAGACAGGCAGTGATATGACGTGGCAAGAAAGGAATATAAGGTGAGTAAAGATAGGAGCTTGGCCTCTTTTTAGTCTGGAGATTTCATAGAGGTAAGAATTCTAGTGGCTGGCGACTCTGCTTCTCAACACCCTCTGTTAGCCTGTGTGGGCACTAGGCATACATGTGGTACACAGATATGTATGTAAGCAAGACACCCATACACAGACATTTCTTAATTATTTAAAGATGTGAGAATGACAGAGTCTGTCTTCAACTCAACATGCAACCCAGCACTCTTTCTGTATTACAAAATAACCATTATTTCAGAATAACATCAGTAGACTTATGGAAAATATAAGTCTGTGGTAAAAGGACAACTGGAGTGTTCTCTTACTAGTATCCTAAACAGCTAAATACTGTTTAGATAGAAGACAAAATTAGACATTACAAAATATTATATAGTGGCAATGTACCTGTCACTCTATTTCCTTATAATCACCAAGAGAAATTAATGACTAATTCTAGAATCATTACATTCATGTCTGTAAATGTCCCGTGTAGACTTGTTTGGACATGAACAGTCATGGTCCTTGTAAATAAATATTATGCTTGTAAGTAAGAGCTATGAGAAAAGAAAATATAAAACTTACACTACTGAGCAGTCTTCTAAGAGATCTCTTTAAATGTTTATGGTATCCTGAAACAGTGTGAGTTTTTATTAAATAACCTAAGTATTTACTACAGACATCCTTAATAAAACAGAATTTTTATAATGACATACAATAGTAAATAAAGCAAAGTTACTTTGTAATAAAGTAGCAAAAGCTTTAGTAATTATCTGTTCCTATGAAAGCAAACAAGGACCAATAAAATGTTCCAAGTTAATATGACATGAAGCTTTGCTTCCAGTGCTGAAAGGGAACACTATCTGCAGTGTTTAAGAAAGAAATACAGGTACCAGAGAGATAGTTCAGTGTGTAAAGGCATTTGATCACCAGAGCCCATGGGGCAGAAGAAAAGAACTGATTACCACAAGTTGTCTTCTGGAGACACATGGACACACGGACACACACATACACATACACATACACACACATACACATACACATACACAACTCTACTGCAGGCATCTCAAACTGAAGTGCATATAAAGTTACCAATCCATTAATAAGATCAGAGCCCATTCTGAGACTGATCAAAATGTGTAGACAGAATTTCTGTCCCTCCTGGTTCCGCAGCCATTTAGTCCCAAGTAAACACACAGAGGCTTATATTAGTTATAAACTGTTTAGCTGATGGCTCAGGCTTCTTCTTGGCTAGCTCTCTCTTAATTATTAACCCATTTCTATTAATCTAAGTAATTCCATATGGTCCTAATTTACTGGAGAATGCCTCCAGCATCCTATTTTTTCTGGTAGCTACATGGTGTCTCTATGGCAGCTCCTCTCTGCCTTCCTCTTCAAGCATTCTCCTTGTTTGGTAGCCCTGCCTATACTTCCTGCCTGGCTACTGGTCAATCAGTATTTATTCATCAACCAATAAGAGAAACATATTCACAGCATACAGAAGGACCTCCCACATCACCTCCTCTTTTCTGTCTAAAAAAAAGACAGGTTTTAACTTTAACATAGTAAAATTATATGTAACAAAACAGCTATGAAGCAAGAAGTATAAGTAAGGCCATGTAGAAATACATATTAATAGTTATGGGTTAATAATTAAAAGAGACATAGCAAGTAAGAAGTCTAAGCCATCCCCCAAACAGTTTATAACTAATATAAGCCTCTGAGTGTTTATTTGGGATTAAATGGCTGCGGGACCAAGCAGGACAGAAACGCCATCTACAAAAATAAGTACCTAAATGGGAGCAAGGACTATATTTTTTCCTTAAGATAGGGTTTTACTTTGTAGCTTTGCCTGACCTGGAAGTTACTGTGTAGACAGGGCTGGCCTTAAACTCAGAGATCTACCTGACTCTGCATCCTGAGTAAAGGGATTAAAGTTGTGAGCTACCACATCTGGTCCTAAATCAGTTTGGTGGTGCTATTTTTAACAATGTAGTTTCTAAAACAGTCATTTCAGTATCTTTGGTAAATTTTAGATTTATAAATCTCCAAGGGTTTGGGAACTGGAGAGATGACTCAGTATTCAGCAGCACTCATTGTTCTAAAGGCCTGGAGTTCGGTTTCCAGAACTGGTGGATGGCTTACAAACACCTGTAACTGCAGCTTCTGAGGATTTGATACCTCTTTCTGGTCTCTGTGGGCACATGCACACATGCATAAACATGCATACACACTCAGACACATGCACAAATAAAAATATTAAATCTTTAAAAACAAATATAAGGGCTGGGAAGATGGTTCAGTTGCTAAAGGGCTTGCAATCCAAGTCTGAGTACCTGAGTCTGGATCCCAGGACCCATGGAAACCCTTGCTTGCCCCAGTGATGCTGCAGTGAGAAAAGAGATGGAGACAGAATCCCTAGGAACCCAAGATCCACCTAGCCTGGCACAGACAACTGCAAACAGGAGACCTTGTCTCAAACAAGGTGGAAGATGAGGACTGCCACATCTACATAATACACACATATACATATCACAAAGATTTTAATATAGACATAATCCAATGAATTCACATTTTCTCCAGTTTTTATTTCAGCTATAAAAAGAATGTTGTAAACAAAATGTTGCAGACTGGGAAATATGATTCATGGTGCTGTACTTTGGACCTTAGCTGTTCTTTAAAGACTTCATGCTCAGGCTGGTGCTGTTGGAAGAGGGTAGGACCTTTAGGAAATGGGGCCCAGTGAGAGGCCCTAGTCCCTTAGACCAAATTCTTAGGGAATAGTGGGAGTGCACTATTGGCTTTCTCACTGATGAGTTAGATAGGTTATTCTACCATGGGCTTCCTTTACTGCTATCTGGCTTCCTCACATCAGAGGCCCAAAGCAAAGGGTCTACCTGATCTAGGAGTGGAACCACTAAAACCTATGGGCTAAAATAAATTCCCCTCTTTAAGTGTTATGCTATCATAACAGAAAGATAACTAACAAACTCATCTTCCAATAATCTTGTTGGTGTCAATTTAGTCTGTTACCTCAAGTACGTAACATTTTTAAGGCTTGCAGAACACTGTCTCGAATATATAGACCAACTTTCAATTTCTGTGATCACATCTAAATGATACCATTCTGTCACGAATAATCTTGTGAACTGAAGATGCAAGTAACATGCATATAAATTTTAAAGTTTGTTTTCTTAATTATGTTTATGATATACAGTCTTATGCTTTCTATCCTATACTATACCTGTATTTCAAAGATTAAATTAATGCAACATGCCTTTAAAAAGGGAAATTTGAATGAAAAGATAACACTTAAATGTCTAGTAAAATTAGTCTTTGCAAATGGTAACTATATGATGGGCATTCACACATAAAGTACACACTTTATATTACACTTCAATAAATTAAATCTAATTTCATCACCAATGACATAGCAACATAACACACATTTAATGACATTTATTATAATAATACTTAATCTGATTAGAGATGTCAGTAGGCAACTCTGACCAAGGTCCTCCTGATTTTTGCACTCCATACAGATGTTAGCATTCAAATGAACTGTCATTTCAGATCTCTCTAAACTAGTATTTCTTTCTATTACTGTTAACTGTTTTGGATTTATCCAGTACTTCAAAACTATTCTCATTTCTTTAACTCCAGGCTTCTCTGCCTTCTTGTTTCCCATAAATATGATTCATTAGCAAGGGTAATGATAGAAAAGTTAAACTCATGAAGAAATAAACTACTTTTAAATATATTTAGAAAATTGATATATGTTAATATGCTGTGTAACTAGATTTTTAGGCATCTATACTCAATACGTAGGATAGATCTAAAGGCGCTGAATCCTGTCATATTTCTAGTTCTAAGATAAACTAAATATAACCATTTAGTTGACTGTATTCATTATGGTACTCGGATATGTAACTATCCCTGAACCAGATGTTTTATAGCTGTATAGCTTATTTTCTTTAAGTACAGTATTCTAATCCTTCATTTAAATTTTAACTGACTATATAACAATATATACTAATTTCATTATTATTCTATGAAATGATATTTTGTAAGACAGTTAGCCCTTAAGAGAGTTACTCATAACATAAATGAGAGAGATAGGAACATCTTGAATCAAACTAGATACCTGCTTAAATAATTGGATAAAAATTAAGAAAGTCCCAAATGGTTTTATATAAGTAAGACAGTAGTAATAAGATATTCATCATTTCTTACATACATACATACACCATTTCTTCAAAAATCTCATATAACCTGTATGCCTACAGCCAAATTATACTAAAATGAACTAGTAATGTGATCAGTAAGGCAATTGTCAATCAAATTTTAATAGGTAAACATTACAACATGATTTCCATTTTTTCCTAAGTAATGGAGTCTGAACCCATCCATGCTAGGCAAACCCACTGGACACACACATACACACAGAGTATGTGTGTATAGTGTATGTCTGTGTGCACAAATGTGTGTGCTGGGGAAGTCCCTGTAAGAGTGATAAATTCTACCATATTTCAAGTTCCAAAAATTCAATCTAAATACAATCACTTGGTTAATTTTCATTATTGTACCTGTGAGAACATGTGGAGACAGGAAACTGATGTTGGGCTTTTTTCCTCAACTACCTCTCCACTTAATTTGAGACAAAATCTCTCACTGAACCTGAAGCATGCCTATTAGGCTAAACTGAATGGCCAGATATCCCCCAGGTCCACTTGTCTTCACCCTCTCAGTGCTCAAGTTACAGACATATGTGCCTATGCTTGGCTTTTATGTAGGCACTTGAGTTCAGAACTCAAGTCCACTTGCTTGCACAGCAGACACTTTACCAATGAACTATCACCAGTCCAGTATTTTTATTTTGAGGCAAAGTCTCACTAAATTGCCAAAGGAATGCTCCTATTTGTGATCATACTCCAGTGTTCCAAGTAGGTGGGACTATAGATACAGACTAATACTTCTAGCTTCCCTACCCCAAGCCCAGCACTGGGTGCCTAAGTGCAGGGATGGAACTCAGTGTCATACTTAAACTAGGCAAGTACCCTTCTACTAAACTTTACTCCCTGCCTTACGAATACGTTTTAAGGAAGATGCTAATATCAAGAATTTGCTGACATTATGCCAGGATCGGATTCCTTAGCACAGTCAACCTTATTCATGACTAGAATTATCATTTGCTTACATTATCTCCTCCAGGGAGCAGTAAACTACAGAGTGTAGATCAAATCTAAACACTGACTGCATTTGTAAATAAAGATTTGTGGGAAGATAGCCAAACATTGATTTACATAATGGCTAGGGTTGCTTTTACCATTCAGTGGCACAGCTGAATAGTTCCAATAGAGACTTGACAGACAGAAAAGATTACAATATTTACTACCTTACCTTACAGAATGTGCCTATTCTGACATTTTGAACTCAGCCATGTCCAGGTTTTTATCAACAAACACAACAATACTGGATTTTGACATATGAAAAACTGAGAAAACTACTGAGTTTGTAGAAAAATGTGAGAAATATAGTCCTATCAAAAAGTTAACACAATGAAAAATGAATGTTTTCCTTCCAATAACCTTGTTACTGTGACTTATTTATAAATATTCTATGATGTTTGAACATAATAATGAAATTGCAAATTATCTGACTTTGACTCACAAGTTTATCATTTCTATAATTATAGAATTTACAGGAAAATGAAATAACTCTTGGTAGATCAGTTTTGCAGTCAATAGAATTTTCATACACCAAAAAACAAAATGTAGAAGAGCCACTTACATTTATCAGTGAGTGAAATTTCATATCAACTTCAGCAAACAACATTCCTAAGAAGAGTGCTTTTCTCAAAACTGTGTAACTTTGTAATTACTTTGTTTGTCCCTACAGTCTCTGCAAAAAATCAAATTTTGATTACTTTTTTTTTTACCTTGAGATCACGGTACACAATCTTCCCAGAATGTAGATAGTCCAAAGCAGAGACAATTTCTGCACCATAGAAACGTGTGCGGTCCTCAGAGAACACCCGCTCTCTCGACAAATGGAAAAACAGCTGCAGGGTAAACAGCAGGGACAGGAATGTAATAATTACTGATTTAGTGGGGGAAATTAACACAAACATAAAACACCTCTCATCACCATATTGTGATGATAGATAGTGTACTCTCAGTGGACACTGAGCACTCTAAGACAGCAGCTGGCTTATCTTTTGCAGGTTTCTAAGGGGAAACTGTGAGCTGTTAAATCAGCGTTTTAATCAATATACCAATCTTGTTTAAAGCATTCTGCTTGCTACCCATTTAACCTTCAGGTACCAGAGGAAAAAGTATGCATTTCCTTCTAACTATACTGCTGTTCCACTTGTACAAGGAATAAATATTGACATTGTCAAAATAAATGAACACAAGTATGAGTATGGTGTATTATTAATTATTTAAGTTATATTTGATTTCAAGGAACAATATGGACTTTTTAAACTCACTTTTGTGAGCTAGTCATAGTCTACAAATATTATTTGTAATATTTCTAGAAATATTTGCAAAGTTTGAAATAACATTTTCTATAGTAGAAATTTGATGACTTTAAAGATGCACATTTATCTTAACAATGCTCAAGCTGGAATAAGAGGCTGTATCATCCCTCCAGATGTGGAGTGATTTGTAATATACAATCCTTTTATTTTCAATTTTAAATGTGCTCTCCTATGATCACATAACTATAAGCCCAATTATTTCGTAGATAATCAAAGGTATGCCAACAGTCCACAAATATTTACTGGACACTTACTATAACCATAAACTCAGTTCTAGCTTTATGAAACTGTAAGTCCCATCACTCAGTGATTAACATCTTATCTCATTTCTCAACAAGGGACACAGCTAGGGGGATACTGTTTGCCTAACACTTGCAAGACCCTATTTTCCATTCCCAATACTGCAAAAGCTAAACAAACAACCCTAAGGACAGCATGAATAAAAACATCTAATTTCTTAGAACAACAGACATCAAGAAGTAGATCTAAGGAACCATAAACTGGTTATCAATCTTTATTGAATTATTATACTTTATTAAGAAATCTGTCAGAAACACCGGAGACCTGAGGACTGCCCACAGCAGAACCGGATCCCAGCCTGATGAGATTCAGCTCACCCAGAGACTGCCAGCTTGCAAGTCCCAGTCTCCACCCACAAGACAGGCAAGGCAAGGCCTACCCAGAGTTTGCTAAGGTCCTGATAGTAGGATGGCCTCCATCCATGCAAGAGGAAAGCCACCAGGGTATTGGACCTGCTCCCACCCACTGGAAAGGAAACATAGTCACATACCCACCAGGGAAGGAGAGAATCCTTCTGCACACACAGGAAGAAATGACGGGAAGGAGACAATACAAAAACACACCCACCAACAGAAAAACCAATATACCACCACCAGAAACTAGAGAATCTACACCTGCAAGACCTGAACAGTCCATTGAGAAAGAAGCAGATGAGAAACACCTTAAAAACAACTTCATGAAAATGATAGAGGCCCTCAAAGAAGACATGAGAAAATCCCTTAAAGACATGAAAGAAAAAACAAACCAAAAAATACAAGAAATGGAGGAAAAAGCAATCCAAAAAATGCAAGAAATGGAAGAAAGGACAAACCAAAAACTTCAACAAATGCAAGAAAGAGAGAAAAAGACAAAGCAAAAATTACAAGAAACAATTCAAAAAGTACAAGGGTTGAAAGCTTAAATAGAGTCAATTAAAAAAACAGTCTGAAGGAATGCTGGAAAAAGAAAAGCTGGGCAAATGGCCAGGTACTACATATACAAGAATAACCAACAGAATATAAGAGATGGAGGACAGAATCTCAGGTGTTGAAGAAACACTAGGGGAAATAGATACATCAACTAAAGAAAATCTGAAGTCCAACAAATCCCTAACACAAAATATCCAGGAAATATGAGACACCATGAAAAGACCAAACCTAAGAATAAGAGGTATAGAAGAAGGTGAAGAAATCCACCTCAAAGGGGCAGAAAACATATTCACCAAAAACATAGAAGAAAACTTTCCCAACTTAAAGAAAGACATGCCAATGAAATTACAAGAGGCCTACAGAACAGTAATCAACTTTGTATGGAAAAACAAAAGCCCCAGGATAGCCAAAACAACCTTATTCAACAAAGCAACATCTGGAGGCATCACCATTCCTAACTTCAAGCTCTATTATAGAGCTGTAGTCCTGAAAACAGCTTGGTATTGGCACAAAAATAGACAGACCAATGGAATCAAATTGAACACCCTGATATTAACCCATACATGTATGAACATCTGATTTTTGACAAAGAAGCTAAAAATATACAACGGAAAAAAGAAAGCGTCTTCAACAAATGGTATTGGCATAACTGGATGCTGGCATGTAGAAGAATGCAGATAGATCCATGTCTATCGCCATGCACAAAACTTAAGTCCAGATGAAAGACCTCAACATAAGTCCAGCCACACTGAAACTTTTAGAAGAGAAAGTGGCAGACACCCTTGAACAAATTGGTACAGGAGACTGCTTCCTGAACATAACACCAGTAGCACAGACACTAAGATCAACAATTAATAAACGGGACCTCCTGAAACTGAGAAGCTTCTGTAAGGCAAAGGACACAGTCAGCAAGACACAAAGGAAGCCCACAGATTGGGAAAAGATATTCACTAACCCCACATCTGACAGAGGGCTGATCTCCAAAATTTACAAAGAACTCCAGAAGCAAGTCTCCAAAACACCAAAGGATCCAATCAAAAAATGGGGTACAGAACTAAATAGAGAATTCTCAGTACAGGAGACTAAAATGGCTGAGAGACACTTGAGAAAGTGCTCAACATCCCTAGCCATCCAAGAAATGCAAATCAAAACAACTCTGAGATACCATCTCACTCCTATCACAATGGCTAAAATCAAAAACTCCAATGACAGTTTATGCTGGAGAGGATGTAGAGAAAGTGGAACACTTCTCCACTGCTGGTGGGAGTGCCAACTCGTACAGCCACTACGGAAATCAGTATGGATATTCCTCAGGAAAATGGGAATCAGTCTACCACAAGACCCAGCAATTCCACTCTTAGGCATATACCCAAAAGATGCACATTCATACAACAAGGATGTCTGTTCCACTATGTTCATAGAAGCATTATTTGTAATAGCCAGAACCTAGAAGCAACCTAGATGCCCCTCAGCTGAAGAGTGGATAGAGAAAATGTAGTACATTTACACAATGGAGTACTATTCAGCAGAAAAAAAATGGAATCTTGCAATTTGCAGGCAAATGGATGGCACTAGAAGAAACCATACTGAATGAGGTAACCTAGTCACAAAAAGAGAAACATGGTATGTACTCACTCACTCATTTATGGATTTTAGACTTGAATTAGGGGAGTACAAGCATACAATCCCACTGCCAGAGAGTCTAGGAAACAGAACCTTCATCCAGCAACTGATGAAAGCAAAGGCAGATACCTATAGACAAACACTGAACTGAACTCCTGGAATCCAGTGTCGGAAAGGGAGAACTGATGGGCAAAGGAGGTAAGAGTCGGTTGGTTTAACCCACAGAAACAGTTGACCTGAACAAGGGGGAGTTCTTGGACTCCAGATTGATGGCTGTGTGGAAACCATGGGACTGACCCAGATCCCCTGAATGCGGGTGTCAGTGAGGAGGTAATCTATGGGGCCTTGGGTAGTATTTATCCCTGGTGTACAAATAGACTTTGAATGCCCATGCCACAATATGGGAGGCTGTCTCAGCTGGGACTCTTGGGGTAGGGCCTAGGCCCTGCCCTGGATGAAATGAGTTACTGGAGATCCACCATGGAGGGTCTCACCCTCCCTGGGTATCTGAGTGGAGATTGTGTAGGGGACTGGGCCTGGTGGGGAGGGAGGGGGAAGAGGGAAGGGAGAGAGAGCTGGGATTAACATGTGAAACAAGATTGTTTCTAACCTAATTTAAAAAAAAACAATAATTATTAAAAAAAAGAAATCTGTCAAGATTGCTAGTCTAAAATATCTTTACCCTGTATAAACATTAAGTACTATAGGTTTGATTTGTTTGTATAATATATATTATGAGATTACAATATGAATTATAAGAAATGTACATGTTCACAAAATCAAATTATATAGGGCTGATAATAAATGCATCAGTATCTAGTTTATAAATATAAAGAAGAATTTCTGTGGAAAATAAAGACATAATAAATGAAAGAAACAAAAAAAGAAACCTGCCAAGAATGAAAGACTATTTACAGACCCGAATAAACTACCAAGATGCCATAGAGGGTACTCAATACATGTCTATGACTAAAGAAAAGAAAACTCAATAAAAATATATGCCTTCAACTGTAAGGTAAAAAAACTAACTACTTCCATATAGATCACCAATTCGTAATACATTCATTGTTAAGAATTGTAGCTTACCAAGACTTGTTCAACATATACTAGTAATTTTGAGACAGGGTTTCTCTCTGTAGCCTTGGCTGCCCTGGAATTTGCTTTGTAGACCAGGCTGTCCTGGAACTCAGAGACAGACCTGCCTCAGGCTCCCAAGTGCTGGGATTAAAGGTGTGTCCCCCACTCCAACCTGGCTATACAGGTTTCTTATATATGCATTCTTTCTTCCCTTATTCTATAGCTATCTCTAGTAAAAGTACTTCTTAAGGAAACTTTGTATGTGACTCCCTGGCCCAAATGAAGACAAGAGAGAAAGAGTATTGATATTGCTGCAATTGACTGAAAGAACATTAAATATATTAGTAGCAGACATTTTGGGAGACAGATCTAAACTATGAGGTTCCCTTCTTTATTCTCATGTTTTGTCAAATCTGGAACCAGAAAAATTGAGATGGTATTAAATTTTTATTATCCAAAAGTTATGAAAAAGTAGTATCTACCATATTAAAGTCTAACATGCCACTAGCCACTAGCATTGACAATGTTGCTGCAGTAGTCATCTAAGTATCTAAATTTCTTTTAAAAAATATCAAGTCTACCACTGGCTGGCCACTGACAAAAGAGATATAG